GCTGTCTCCACCCCCCAGCATGGATTCCATTAGTCAGCTGCAGGTGACTTCACACGCCTGAACCCTTTAAAGTAGGACTCCACGTTCATTAGCAGTAATGGCTTCAGACGGCCCTGACCCGGCGCACGGCGGGGACGGTGGCAGGACGGCGTGGAGTTTGCTAAAAGGCTCCCTAACATAATGTCCATGTTAAGGAGCGTGTCAACAGACACTTGTGTGTGACAGATACAGTAACTCACGGTTGAAAAGTGGAGTATTATTCGGCGGATGTGTACCAACACAGTAATATTTAGGGTTTTTTTTTTTCCATTTTTATTTCACGTTTGTAAAACTATGTTGACAACGTTTAGTCCAAGTGTGTGTACGATGAAGTGCGACGATGATTTTGAGAATCTGACATCCCATAATTCCACCTTCCGTCCACTAACCGTTGCTCTAATGCAGTCTTGTTTCTCAAAGACTGGGTCGTGACCCTCAGGTGGGTCGCTTTTTTTTTTTTTTTGGGTCGTCTCTCATCACGTTTCCCAGGAGTTTACGAATAATGTCTGTTGACTTGTGTCGCGAAGGTCTGTGAAGTTTTGGGAAACTCTGCTCTGATACTCCGTCGATACACGCGTCGTTATTTGGACAAGCTGTTGGAAAGAGTTTGGTTTCATGAAGCAACCGGAGGCTTCAACCTCTGGTCCGTGGCCCCGGCCTGACACCAAAGTTGGGGATGAACCGCCCTTTGAGGGGCAACAAAAAAAACAATTAGTCATATGAACAAAGGCTGATTGATATTGATCAATCAGAGTTTTTGTGATTAAATGAATCATTGTTTGGTCTTTCTCTTCCAGCAACATATATATAAAAATATATACATCAATATATAGAAAAATAGTTTTTGTCATATGTGAGGAATACATCTAGATCAGGGGTGTCAAACTCATTTTCACCAGGGGCCACATTATCAATACAGTTCCCCTTGAAGGGCCGGTTGTTGGACGACCGTATAGACCAGTGGTCCCCAACCCTCGGTCCACGGACCAGTACCAGTCCATAGATCATTTGGTACCGGGCCGCAGCGGTACACAATGAAAAAATGTACTTAATTTTTACTAATTAAAGTAAAAATTAGGTTAAGAAACTCTACTGCATGAAGGTTTTTAAGCTCCCACGGGCCACACAAAACGGCTTGGCGGGCTGCATTTGGCCCCCGGGCCTTGAGTTTGACACGTATGATCTAGATTAACCATGGCTAATTATGATTAATTACGTTGCAAAGCTAGCTTTTGATTAATCGGATAAAGACTGTTACTTGATTGACAGCCGTACTTGATGAACGGTAAACGACGCGTAAACATTTCATGATGTCATGAAATCAGGCGTTCTGATGACACGTATATTCTGTTCATCAAAACGTAGGAGGTACTCATTACATTTACATCCACGTTGCAATTAGCTCCATTATCCACGACCTCAGAAAACTTCCGGAACGTTCCAACTGGAGTGACGCTGGAATAGGGAATATCCAGGGGTGTGGACTCGTGTTTCTTGTACGTCTCTGTAAAGTGAGGAACTCAAGGCTAGGTCTCTGTATAAAACGTCACGGTGTCACAAACACAGACTCCGCCGTCCTTGATCGCCACAATAACGCGGCGGTCCGAGAGGAATATTCAAATCGTTCCCATTCGCACGTGGTGAAGCCAGCGGGCAGAGGCGGCGTGACTGCGAACGCGTTTCCTTTTCAGATGAAAATAAAAAATGATCAGGACAAGGAACCCGAAACATCGGTGACTAACAATGTCAGACGAACAATGATTTTCTTTCTCATGCAAATGAGCACGACCTCTGAAGGGGGCGCTCTTATTGTGTTTAAAAAGAATCACTTCCTGTTTTCTCTGTGTATTTTATACAGGAATATACAGCGTTGATTTTTTACATGACGATACGTTGATTTGTGACGACGATTCCATGAGAATATTTTCACATTCAATTGCAGTTTAGCTACATACATACATACATATATATTTACATATATACATGCATGCATAAACAATCAGTACACCCATATATAAATAATCACACAAATATATATACACACATATATACACATTAAACAATCAGTACACCCACACACACATATATACACATACATACGCATTCAAAACCACTAGTGATCGGTTGAAATTAGCGATGTCCGATTTTAACTTGTTGCCGATATCCGACATGCCGATATTGTCAAAATATTAAATTTCCGATTCCGATATCAGCCGATACCAATATAGGTGATATTTATTTATTTATCTGTAAAAATCACCGTATGAGTATGACATTAATTAAACGAGCTGCAATAGTGCCATCTAGTGACTTTCACTCTAATATACAGCCGTTTTTCCCCAAAACTATTTTTAGGGCACACACAGTATTTGGCAAAACTCAGGTATTGCATCTGGTTTCATTACCAGAGGAAAAACCGATAACGATTCTTACAGATATTACATAATTATGCTAACATCGGGCCGATAATATCGGTCGGCCGATATTATCGCACATCCCGATAACGCTAAGTGACGTGACGTGTGAATAACAGGAAGTGACAGTAAGTCAAAGACACCAACGATCACAAAGTAACATTTTTGTTTGCTCCAGAGGGGGCGCTCTTCTCTCCTCCCATTTTTCCGACCTTTATTTTTGTCAGTGAGTTATAATTTAAAGCGAGGTCATTTTGATCTTCTGCCTCAATTAAATACGAATTCACTCTTCAGCTGTAGTGTGTGTGTGTGTGTGTGTGTGTGTGTGTGTGTGTTCACCAGACAAAAGGCTTTTTCAAAGACATCAGTGCACCATTATAGAGAGTTAAACAATCTTTTCCCCCAATCAGCCGACGTGTTAGTGAGATGTTTACTCTGGTTGGGATTAGTGATGCCGTCCTTGAGTCTGGAGACAAAAACAATCCATTCAGTTTCACAGCTCAATCAAACCGCGTTCCACGTCGTCTTCGTTCCAAACGACTGAGCTGCAGATTAACTCATTCACTTCACAGGAATCACGAAAAAAAATCAATTAAATTTGTTTGGACGACGTGCAATTAATAAAAAAAAAAAACATTTTTCTCATTAATAATTCAATCGAACACACCGTTACATCGGAATTTTTTTTTTTTCCTTTTCATAATAAAGATTTGGTTTAGAACCAAGGAGCCCAAAAAGTAGATTAGGATCTACCAGTAGATCGCAAAAGGAGTGCTGGTAGATGATGAGCAATTAATTAAAAACGAAATATATAAATATATATCCATCCATTTCCCTGAACCTCCCTGTGGGTGGTGAGTCCGCTGGAAGGTATCAACCGCCCTAACCGAGATTCAAACTTGCCCAGGAGGTGAACCCTGGGGTTCCACACCAATGACAGAGACTCTGGCTCTGGGCCAAAGTGCCACTTGAATAAATTTTAGAAAAACTTTTTTTTTTAAAGAATTTCAGAAAAAAAGACTTTTTCAAAAAAATTTTCGAAAAAAAAAATTTTCGAAAAAAACTTTTTAAAAAAAAAAACTTCAAAAAAAAATTTTTTCAAAAAACAATTTTTTCACCATTTTTTGAAAAAATCTTTTTTCAAAAAATAAAAAAATGTTTTTGAAAAAATTTTAGAAAAAAAATTTTTTTGAAAAAATTTTAGAAAAAGATTTTTTTTGAAAAAACTTTAGAAAAAAATTTTTTTTG